CAGATGAATTGTGGACCAGACCTGGACAAGTGGACAGATTGGATGATGAGATGTTGGAGGGGGATAAGATGTGGATAGGATTGGAGATAAGATGTGGATTGGGTCTGAGATCTGGATATGTGGATATGACATTATATCAATGTACCCTTGTATTCAATATCCTGCCAAGACACTACAGAAAGCTAGAAAGAAGTAAGATATGTAGCAATCCATCATTGACTGAGGATCAACTGAGGATCAATCCAACTCAGAGTCTCCAAGTCCTTCAGCAATGCAGTGCACACATCAGCAAACCTATCTTAAGTTTGTCACAGGTCACAGTGATGAATGAACATGTGAACCTACCATTATGTCATGTCACGCCACAACCCCCATGAACCTAGGGTTGAATGGATACAGTATTTCACCTCATATAGCCCTATATCATCAAGTTTCATTCTCTAAATTTGAGTATTTCCTTTTTTTTTTTGGAATCCTTGTTTATTGTCTGTTGGGGCGAAGCCCTATGTTAGACAGTACATGTGGTATGTTACTCTATGGTACTTGGTATTTATCTAATCTGATGTGGGGGTTCTGTAATCCTGGTCCAGGCTGGTGTGAGGACAATAGTGCCATCTTAAGGCATATAAAGATGGCTAAGCACTTAGCACATTGTGATGGTTCTAATTCTTCTTTGGGGGGCTGACATCTCCAAAGGTGCTTGCTAAGTGTTTGGTATGAGTGATGAATTTGAGGACTGCCTTGATACTTTTCCCCTTGTTTAGGAGGTCTTTGAGGCTGTGCACATGCGTTCTGATCTCTGCTTTCATGATTGCTCTTTGTCTTGTGTGTGCTGGACATGATAGAAGAAAGTGGTGTACTGATTCTTCTCTTTCCTTGCAGGCAGGGCAGAGTGGGGAAGGTGCTCTCGAAATTCTGTGGAGGTGTTTGTTCAGAGGGATATGGCCTGTGCAGAGCTGGATGAGCAGGGCAGCGTGCTTTCTTGGGTACTTGTCTGCTAGTTTTGTGAAGCGGTTGGATGGGTAGGATGAGTCTATTTCCCAGAATCTGTCGCTATGTGAGTTGTGCAGGATGGTTTTTGCTTCTTTGTTGATTGAGGCATTGAACATTTGTTTTATGGCTGATTTGCTTGCTGGGAGGGTAGCCAGCTTGTTGTTAGGTGAGCAGAGTGATGTGGGGAGTAGGTGGGTGTCTGTCGTTTCTCCTCTTGCTGCCCTTTTGGCTTGTTCATCTGCCTGTTCATTTCCAGGGATGCCAATGTGACCCACCAACTAGCATATAGCCAGTTTTCCATCACCCTCGGCAGGGAAGAGGGTGCGGAGGTTGTCGTGGAATTTGTCCATCAGATAGTGACCCAGTTTTGACTGGAAGGCATTGGTCACTCTAATTGCCACTTGGTTGTCTGCTCCCAAAGCCATTGTCCTTCTTCCTCCTCTTGCTCTCATCTCGTCTTTCAGCAGCTTGACCATGAGTATCATTCCTACTATCTCACCCTCATACACCGTGTGTTCCTCCTTTCCTAGGTGGAATCTGCTCTCCCTGATTCTTCTCTCCCCTTCCATCAACACAGCTGCGCCTCCTACACCTCCATCTATTACCAAACCATCTGAGTACACCCTTAGCTCTTCTCCCGCTCTTGTGTCTTCCTCGAGTGACTTTTCCTTTGACTCCGCTATCTGCACTTCGACATCTGGGGTCCACTTGGGGTAGTGGCGAATGGGGAGGATCATTTCGGTGGTGTTAGGGTTGATCTTGAATTTGCAGAAAAGTTTGTGTATCGGGGATGGGAGTCATTTCTATTTGGTGAAGTCATGCTTTGCTAAATATTGGTGTGCTGACGTGACACCTTTATGTAGTGGGTGGTCTGTGTGTAGGGTGGCCAGTCTCAGTGTGGCATGGTGGCATTGGCTTCTCAAGATTTGCTGAAAAGGGGCGATATCAGTATGCGCATCAAGTAGGTCTGAGGCAGTGGAATGCATTGCCCCAGTGATTAGGATAGTGGCCATCCTGTGGACTCACGTCATCTGTGACGCAAAGCCCCTCGCTCCTCTACCTCCCAATTTGCCCCTTCCTTTTGAGATGAGGTCTGTGCACCACACATCAGCTGTGTATAACATCTTAGGAATGACTACTCCTCCATATAGTTTTCTCATCCACCTCCCCTCATGCCCTTCATTGTTCTGATCATTCTCTGGCACGTCATCACATACTTTGTGCCTTTTGCCAAGGCGTATGTGTCATGTTCTTTGAAGCACAGTTCTTCATCGATTATTATTCCTAAAAACTTATGTGAGCATGAGGGATTAATGGTATGATTACCTATTGTGATTGAGGGACGATGCGCAGGTTTTGATTTTCCAGGGTTGTCTTCGTCTGCGGTGTGCTTTCTTGACAGGCAGATCAGTGCAGTCTTGTCTAGTTCGAATTCAGCATTGTGCTCATGGCTCCACTCTAAGGTGCCCCCCGGTTTTTCCATCATGTTCTTGAGTTTGTTGTTGGCTTCTTCATATGTTTTCGCGCGTGCCAGGAGGGCTATGTCATCTATGAAGCCTAATCCCATTTCTCCCTGTCTTGGTTTGGGGTCTGGAACTCTTAGGACATCTGCGTTGTAAAATATGAAGGTGAGGGGGGAGAGCGGGCAGCCTTGATCAATGCCATTTTGAACGTTGAAGGGAGCTGATTTGAAGTTGTCAAATGATAGTGTCGTTTTGTGGTTGGACAGTCTGCGATAGTACTAGTCTATGTATTCTTGGGGAAGGCATGCTTTCTTGAGGTTGTGGAGTAGCTTGTTGACTATCACACTAGGAAAGGCTGCTTTAACGTCTAAAAAGAGAATAGATACGAAACTGTCCTTAGAGGCCCACACAGTCAGTGACAAACTTTGTTAAGAGATGGAGTGAATTAGTGGTAGATCTGCCTGGGTGTCCTCCAAAGTGCATTGGGGGGAGGAGGTTGTGCTGTTCTGAAATATATGTTAGATCAGTCTGCTACACAAGATGAAAGGATCTTAGCCATTGAGTCAAGAAGGGTGATCAGTCTATATGCTTTGGGGAGGGAGTAGTCTGGGCATCCTGGTTTTCAAAGGATGATGGTCAAGGGCTGTTTCCACTCATCTGGATAGACTCCAAGATGGAAGGTGGGCAAAAGATAGGGCCTAGATAAGGAACGAGTAGGTTAGCAGCATTTGATGAATACTATGTTGCTGATTCCATTGGGTCCTGGGGCTTTGTGTGGACCGAGTCTTGCGATTGCTCTGTGGATTTGCTGGTCGGTTATTGGATGGAATTCACATATTGGTGGTTCATATTCATAGTTGGGGTCTACAAAATCATTGTCCAGGGGTGGACGGAAGAAGGTTTCATATAGGAGCTGGCTTTTTCGTTCATTATCTTGCATGTCATTCACATTAGCTTCGGGTGCAGGTTGAGGGTCTTGAAGTGTCGTTATCCTCATGTGGATTTGCTCTGCTGGGTTGCTTGTGGCGTGTCTGTGGAAGTTCCAAATGCCTGTCTCAGTTAGCATTTCTAGCCATTCATCCCAATGTGAGTCCTTAGCCTTCTTGATATTTTCTGAGAACCAGTTGTGCACTGTTCAGTATTCTTCATGGATGGGGTGATTTCTCTGAGGTAGCTTGTTCCTTGCTTTCTTGCTGAGCTTGTGGACTTGCTTGTGTTCTTGGTCCAGGTCTTTCGACCACCATCTTTTCGAGTACGGTGAGGGCTTGACTTTCGGAACCTGCTCTTCTACAGTCTCGAGTATAGCTCCTGTTAGTGCTGTCAGCGACTCTTGGAACTGGTCTCAGTTAGTGAGCTTGGTAGGTCATCCAATGTTGTCAAGTCGTGTTGCTAGGGTTTCATTGACTAGGTCCCAGTCTGCCTCTCTATAGTTCAGGTGCAGGGTTGGATTTGTGCAGTCAGGGTTGAGGTCCAGGGTGCTAATAATGGGGTAGTGATCAGTAATGACTGGTCTTAGATGGTACTTAACTTCACATTGGGTGAAAGCATTCACAAGGGCCTCTGAGCAGAAAACATTGTCAGGGCGGGTTTTGTTCTTTGTATTCGAGGCCTCGAGTGTGGCAACACATGCCGGGAGGACTTGAGTGAAGTTGTACAGTGCTAGAAGGTTGATTAGTGTACCTGCTGAGTTCAGGTTATCCGCTGTGAAGAGGTGAGTGTTACACGTTAATTCCCACATGGGGTGGTGATGGTTGAAGTCTCCCATCCAGATTATGTGCTCTGCATTGTCTTCTGTGTCTTGAGCATGGTCTCTAGTGCAGTTTCAGCATACATTATGTTCAGTATGCATATGACGTTCCAGGAAGTGGAGGACATTGTTGTGGTCGCATGGGTTATATACATTATAGATACACACCTTTCCAAGGGGGCCCAGTAGTTCAATTGCCATGATATTTGAGGAGTTGATTTTTATTGCATGCCATTTGTTCTTTAAAAGTCACTTGTTGATGAGGATGATCGTTTGGGTGCGGTCTGGGCTGGTGTGGTGATGTGTTGGATAGATTATGTCCCAGTAGTGACCCAGATTTGAGGTGTTGGCAAGTTTGACCAGGTTGAGGTAAGGTTCCTGTATACAAGCTATATCATACACATCAGGGTTTAGATTACAGATTAGATGTTCCCATGCACCAAGGGATTTGCATAGATTTTGCTGCCAAATTTTGAGGTCTGTTCTGTTGGGGGGATCATTAGTTGTGTCAGGCATTAATCCCAGCTATGGTGGTCAATATCACTGTCAGAGATGATTGGGTGGTGTGGCAGGGGGGGGAGCGTGTCCATCAGTGGAGGTTGGTGGTTTCTGTTTGCTGGTGTGGGTCTGGAGCTGTGTTCCTGGGGAGCTTGCTGGATGTTTGTACCCCAAGTGTTGGTGAGGTGAGCTTGGGTGCCTAGAGGTACACGGTTAGAGTTTGTGCATTGCTGATTTGTCTTGTTGTGTTGTCAGCAGTTGGGGACTGTGTTCCAGTCCTCCTCACAGGGTGGTGGGTATCATTGTTTGGCTGGGTAGGTTTGCTGCTGGTGGTGGTTGATGTCGATGTCGGCTTGGGTGTGTCTGCTCATTTCCCATGTTAGCAGGTCCTCAGTAGGGAAGTATATGTACTGGGCTTCATCGTTTCTGTTCTTGTGTGTTTCCCATTTCACTTTGAAAGTCAGGCATTCTCGGCTCCAGGCTGCATGTCCATTTGACTTGCAGTTGACACAGTGGTAGGCTGCTGCATTGTCAATCTTGCATTCCACAGTGCAGTGCTTCTCGCCACACATGCCACAGGTGTCATGTTCCTGTTGACATTCTGCAGCTATGTGCCCTCTGTCAAAAGTGTGACACTTTAGACATCTTGTGGGTTTGGGAAGCAGTTTGCAGCCATACACCTTCTTGCCCTCTATGGTGATTCCATGTTGAAGGATCTGGTTGGCTGAGGTCTTCGAGTTGAGGGATAAGGCGATGTGAGTGGTCCTTTGGTTCGGATTTCTGCGAGCGACAGGTTTGATGTATCTGGCCTTGATCACTGATTTTGGTTGAAGGCCGCCTTTCCTTTCAATTTCTGAGGTCGCCACTGGAGAGGTTGGGTTGAAGGATACAGGAATGTTTTCAATGATGAGGTGGTACATGTGGTCTTTTATGATTACCTCTGCTCCAAATTGTTCTAGGAAGTTGCTTCTGTTCCCTGGGATGCTAAGCCAAGCTGCTGATTCCAGGTTGCTGAGTTCGTAGAGAATGCCACCATGAACAAGTTTTCTTGCTGAGAGGATTGCCATGTTGGAGGGGAGGTCCATTCCTGCATTTTTGAGTAACTCAATGGCCATTTCGGCCTTCGCAACTAGTTGTGCCTCTGTAAGTTCTTGGAGGGAGTTGACACCAGGTGATGAATCTTTTGCCGATGAGGATTTGTCTTGCCTGTGCTTCACTACATGCTAGGATTCTGGTTAGTGGTGTGGGCATCCCCGACTTTGTGGCATTGGCATATGATTTGGATCCTTCAGACCATATTGTGCTCAACTTGGTGATCTTGGATTGAATGACACCCTCTACTGCTTTCTCTATGCCTTTTGATGATTCAGTGATATGGTCATGCACCTCATTCATGGCCTTGTCTAGAGCAGTTGTTTGCTTGTCTGTGAATTCTGCTAGTGACTCCACCTTTTTGTCTAGCATTGCTATGGGTCCGCCCATGAGTGCTGCTATTTTCTCTACTAGTTTGTTGGTGTTTATGGTTTGCTTGATTTTGTGGGCTATAATAGCAATTGCCCTTAAGGCTTCAGTATGGGTGGCCCCTAAGGTAGGGGATAGGCTTAGTTCAAACAGGGCGAGGGTTAAGTTTTCGAGGGTGCCTGCACCAGTTGATAGGATCAAGCCGTTGGTGCTTAAAAACTTTCTCGCTGCTGGAATGGTGGTGATGTCCGTCCTAATGTCTGCACCTTCTACGTATTCCTTTAGGGTTTTGCTTGGGGTTAGTAGGGTTTTACTGGAAGTAGCTTTGTTCTTTCTAGTGAGAGGAGCTGAGATTGGTGGTAGTGTTGGAGTGCTGCCACACGCCATTTCTATGGATATTATTAGTTGAAGAGAGGGTAAAAATTATTGGGAAGTAAGTTCTATGGGGCTTGGGGTTGGCCGAGGTGATCAGTGGGTCACCATTTGACGGCATAGGCGCTGTTGGGCGTGATATTGGGGTCTGGTTTTCAGGGTCCTAGCTGGGGTGCCACTTGGTACTGGTCCAAGAAGCGATTGAGTATTTCCTTGACTTCTCTTTGTCCTAGTTGTTCTTCTGCCTGTTGCCATACATATTCCTGGCCACTTAACCCCATCCTCTTGGTTTTTATCTCATCTAACCAGATATCTTGATTCTAGTCCTTAAATTTTAGTACTGGTGCTTTAGAACAAAGGCTAGTCTCCTCCCTCTATTGGCTGAAGATAGAAGAAGCTTTTCTTCTTGGTTTTAGCTTTAAAGGTGGCTGCCTTGAGAGCATTCCTGATCAATTATATGGAGACAGTGGTGTGGATGATAAAACTAATGAATTTGATGGCTTAAGTAGCATTGGCAGCCTGCCCAGTTAAAATATGATACACAAAAGATCTTTTGCTATATGGTGTAAGCTTAAAAGGGTGATATAATTTGATATTTTCCTTATTTGGGATGGTCTTTCTGATGACTCTACCATTAGTATTCCTGTTCAGACCAGTTTTAGTAGAAATATGCCTGGTAAACAGATGAGAGGAGCTGAGAGTGAGAATAGGGGCTTTTTCAGCTATGGGAGAGAGTTGCAGTATAGTGAGGGAAGATTGCTAATGGCTACTGCTAGGAATTGATCTAGAGTGTGTTTATAAGAGTGGTAGAAGTCATTAGAGCAACAGGAAGAGACACCAAGTACTAGAATTATGAAGATTGTATTGGTCAAATTGAAAGTCAAAAAAGTGTCCCAATGAGTCACCAAATTAAAATGATCATATCTTCACACGCTAACGTCAGATTCCCACGCTATTTGGGACAAAGACAAAGCAAAGAAGCAGAGCTTTCTGACACCTCCCTATAGCTTAGTCATATTCCCATGCCCTGACTCACAATGAAGCAATTAGATGTAAACCCACAAACATTAGGACACTTTTTTGAGCCACTGTATATTGTTGTCATCAAGGATACATTGTATGAACAAAATCAGGTACATAGCAGTACACTAAAAGTAGTATTGAAGAAAGAAAAACAAGGTCAGCTGTGAAGAGAATTGGGTGAGAACTTCATTGCTAAAAAATCAGATAAATAAAACTAAATGAGCAATGACTCAGAGGAGGCAGTGAGAGAATGGTTCAAGACTCCTGAAAGTTTGGTGCAAATCTAGACTTGTATTCCAGCAATACATATCTTGCATTCTCAACTCTCTGTGCCAATAGATCTTCCTCATGCTTCAGAAGTGCCAACAGTTGGGTGTCCTGCCAGACACGGTTCTTGTTACAGTTAACATACACCCCTATTCATTTTCTCTTACCTTTACCTTGTATTACATCACATGCCACATATCACCACTGCTAGACTTATCTCTGACTCACATTGTATTACACCACAATCGCTATCGCCATTGCTAGGTGATCTATTCTTGCCATCTCTGACTCATCTTCAATCCCATGCCTGCCCTAAAGCACCTGTAGTTCACTATATATAGTCCATCTAGTATGCTGTAGTTCTGCACTTAATCTTACTCAGTTTTACCTTGAACTTCCTTCACTTAAGACCTCCAATCTTAAGTTGTCTGAATATCAATATTCAAGTCGAGGACACTCTCCTTGCCTTGTCTTATGACCCTTGCATTTGCAAGGTCTTGAACTGACTATACCCATCACTCTTATCAAGCTGCTATTGTCATGACCATCCAAGTTCATAACAGTTCTGTGCTGCAGCATAACTTGCAAATACAGTGTCAACACTGAGCTGGGTGAACAACCAATCCTGGTCATCTTCCTCCACCTCAATTCTGCCAAGAGACATCTAAATTACTCAGTGCTTGTGGATGAGTGAAAGAAATATCTCCATAACAAATATGCTTGTAACTCATTTTTGCACTCAGCATTTTGTATGGTTGCACAGTTGCTGTTGCTGGGGGACCCTCTTTCACCTCCATGAAGAGAGCCAAAAAGACCACAGGATGATGGGATTGGCAATGAAGACATTATAGACTTGAAGGATTTATGACCCAAAATGAATTGCACCTTAAATGAGATATTTTGGTCAGAGTAGTGCAGTATTTCAACTTGTTACTCTCCAGCCATAGATTAAGGTGTGTGGCATGTTCCAATGCATTCTCTTTATGACTGTTAGAATTTCAGTCTCGCATCTATCGTGAGCAGCAGTCATGTGTCATAACAGATGGTCATAGTAGAAAATTCAAACCAAACGAGTTCACTGGGATGACTCGGATATATAAGGCAGGATATCCTAATTGGGACGTGAGAGTAAAGTAAATATCTGGATAGGAAGCTAAGTCCCGGAACCATAATGTTCGATTTAAATAACTCACCCTTCAGAGGGTACTCAGCAAGAAACACGTCACTCGATTCTGACTGGGATAGCAGGACTTCCATCTATCTGATTTCAACGATGGAACTGAAGTCATCTTGATGAAGCTAACATCAAGATTGAGGCTTCCAGGGGAGGCGACGGCGACGATCAATCAATCAAGGTCTTCTACCCCGGAAAGCTACAAGGACTGCCACGAATATGGCATGAGCAAGGCGCCCCTGTATAATCCTGTGGCTGCTATTAGTATAAATGAAAAGGTACAAATACCCCGAACTCTCACCTCCAGAATTTCACAGGCTGACGCGGCTTTTGCCAGGCGGAGCAAAATGACAAGAACGACACATGTATACTTCACTCAAAGACCAAGGGCTACACATGCAATATAGCTCGTCCACACGATGTTGGAGCTGGAGGACAACGATGAATCATCTTCTTGACATCATAGATATTGTCTCAGCTCTAAGGATTTACCCTTCCAGACCGTCTGGCTCGAGTTCCCGGAGATGAAGTCATTCTACGAGCAGTAATCTCCTGTATGATATAAGCACGAGGTTTGGTGGGGCACACCTTACACATAGAAAACAGATGCATAGTCAAAAGCCAAATGGAAGAGAGATATTAGCATCTACAAAGCACGCATCGTGGTATCAGCGCGATTCTTCACCTGCCAGGAAAAAAGTGACCAAAACCTCCCAGTCCTCGCACCGGATCAGCGAACCAACAACAGTGGTCGAGAACCAGTGTTACTGGTTTGCAGATTCGTACAAATGATGCGCGGGGGTATGCTGATATAGCAGCCACAGGTCGGTCATGGAGACCTCGAGCACTGAAAGGTGCGAAGATGGAGGAAATTTAGTAAAACAGTGTCGCACCACTGACCTCTATCGTCTGGAGCGTTCTAGGAGAATAGTATCTTGTGGAAAACATGCAGGTGGATCATAAGTTGGAACCGCACGGTTCGCAGACCCTACAGTTTGGGAGAAGAGCAGTTATTCCACTGACCAAGATGTGATACGAACATCTCGTAAGTATTCGATCTGACGAGGTGAATATGGCGATATATAACAACCTCTAGCCTGTCCTAGATCGGAATGCAATATAACATATTGCGTGATAGCCATGGGTCGCAAATGTGGGCTGTGGAACAATAGGTAGGGGAAGTTAGCAGGAAAATCTGATATGAACAGACGAAAGAGTATCATGGTGAGCAAATCACTAATGCCAAAGCGGTTTGCTCAGACTTGCCTTTAAGGCCACAGAAAATTGATAAGGCCTCAACGCGTGCTGGGGAAAAGCTGGCAGCTGATCGGCACCAACCGGTCAACTGATCTATACATGACTGGTGCACCAAGAACCGAAGTTCCCGGTTTCTGAGTGAACGGCAGTAGGAGGGTCGATTGTTTACCAACATCCTGGCACATCACGTCCATTCTAAACCATCGACTGTCATCGATTATGCTGCCTGCCTCAGAAGAACACCGGGAGCGATGCCGCATGTCGATAAGCACCCAGCCAGCGCAGAGGTCGATAATCTGCGAATTTCAATAAGCGTTCGAGGGTACCATCCTTGATTAAGCTCGCGCACCTCCGTCATGATCAACCTTCTATCTCTTCTATCTTACATCAACATCGCATACCAAGACTATTAATATGGACGAGTGTTAAAACATCAGTTACAGAGGATGTATCATACAACAAATGTGGATGAGTGCATACGAAGTTAACTGCAACCATGAGCATCACCACAGTTGCTATTTGCTGCACCATCTTCTCAGTCAAAATTGGATTCCTGCTGGTCGGACGTTAGGGCCGAGTTCAAGTTGAAGTGTGATGACATAATATTTAGAACGCGATCTCCAATAATCAACTGAAGCTACTGAATCTTCCACAGTACTCACTACTAACTAAGTAGCCTAGTACTACTCGATGTCGCAATCAGAACCCTCCTTCTTTGAACGCGAGCGCGACAGACTATCCTTAGACATCACAGCAGTAAGTACTACCCAACACAACACATCTTAAATCCGACGCGCCATCCACAGGGTTTCGAAGACCTTCTCTCATCTAGCAACGTACTCAATCGGAAGCTCGAAGAAGTAGTAGGCATGACTCGTGAATACGAAACTATCGCTTCCCTGTGGCAAAGCTTCCACGAGTTGATGCGTGGACAACGAGATGAAGTGCTCGAAGATAGAACAACCGTTCCCGGCACAGGCGCCCACGTCGTGTCTACAAACTCCAAACGCTAGCACCAAGCAGCTATGATCAAGAGGGAAAGTGAAATTGTTCGACAGGTACGCTACATGATCACTTTCATGAACTTTGCGAAGACTATCCAAGTACAGGTGAGAAGAACAAAAAAGAATGCATTGTTGTGACAAGACAAAGACAGATTATGATAACAATGCTGCGTAGAGTCCGAATCATACATCTGCCCAAGAAGCGACCTGCGCAACTGTTTAGTAGGGAGTAACGAAGAAACAAGCACCACACTCACCCATGAGAATCCGCTGAATTCCTGTTGGTCCTTTGCAGACAATTGTCCGTGAACGGGCGTTAATGTCGGCTGCTCCTTTGTAAATTCTTCATCGAAGTTACTGGTGTCCGCGCTCCCGTTCTGCAAATGAAATCAGCATCGTTCCTTTGTACTTGAAACATTAGGCTTACTATAGTTGGGAAGTACGGCGGTGGGATGCGTTTGTTCAAGACATCGTCAAAGCTCACATCCTTGAAGAAGGGATGTCTCTTGATCTCCTCAGCATCGGCTTTCCCAGATCCCAAACGTCGCGTGGGATCGCGAGTCAACAGCTGCAAGATCACCATGAGCAAGCATAGAAAGCAGAGCGCGGGAACATTCAACCTTTTGCAGGATGGAAACAGCATCTCTCGGCATGGTGATGGGATATAGAGGCTCATCCTCCAAGATGGCATCAAAGATTTCATCTTCGTCATCGCCACGGAATGGCGATTGCCCAAGCAACATCTCATACGTCAAGACACCAAATGCCCACCAATCTACGGCGCGGCCGTATCGTTGCTCCAGCAGAATCTGCATCAACGTCAGTTCGGTCCTCACAACAAGGAGATACAACAAGTACTTCGGGAGCCATAAACTCGGGAGTACCACAGAACGTGCTCGTGGTCGAGCCATACCACATATCCTCCTTGCACAAACCGTAATCAGCAACCTTGACGTGTCCGTCAAGGGTAAGCAGAATATTATCAAGCTTCAGATCACGGTAGATGATGCCGTTCGCATGGAAATACTCCAGAGCAAGAAGAACCTCCGACGCGTAAAACTTCGCTTGGCGAAGCGAGAACTGTTTGCGTTGGATGTGTAACATGAGGTCACCGCCACTGACGTACTCCATGACAAAGTATACGCGCGTTTCCGTCTGGAAACACGAGTGTAAACCAAGCAGAAACGGGTGCCGTTCACGAGCAGCAGCCAAGAATACTCGTTTTTCTGAACGGGTGCTATAGATCCTTCTTAAATATCTTGGTCGCATCAATATTATGAGACATACCTCTCGACCTCATCGTTATCAATAATAAACTCCTTCTTGAGCACCTTGATGGCATACAATCCGTTTGTCTTTTTCTCCTCCGCGAGCATAACCTTACCGAAGTTGCCCTTACCCAAGACAGCCAGGAAGTTGAAGTCGTCGAGGCCAACTTTACGCTTGCGAGTTGCAACTCGCTGCATCGGAGGCATCGCCTGGACTGGCGAGACTAAATGAGGGTCCTGAGATCGCGGTGCATACTGGGGCCCAGGAGGAGGTTGCATCGGCAAACCCGATTGTAGATACGAGGTCTGTTTCTAGACCTTTGTGAGCGCACATGCTAACACCACTAACACAGAAACATACCTGTGGCGCGGGTATTGAGTACTCTTCCTGCTCATACACCATAGCTGCCTGTGGCTGAGGCGGCGGTGGGGGAGGTAGCAACTGTTCATTTGGGTAAGCAGGGGGGACCGGGACTCGAGCACCTGGGGGAGGACGAGGAGGAACACTAGACAGCGGTTGCTGCTGATAATAACGAGGATCAACACCATCCTGCGCAGGCGTGCGGCGCCCAAACGCATCCACAAACATCCCAGGTACAGGAGCCACTTCTCCCCCCTCAAGTTGCATCCTGTCCAGACTATCACTAAGCGGCACTTCCACAGGTGGAGATACCTGCGTTTGAGTCTGCGGGGTGGGAGCGAGGGCTATGGGTCGTGATACCGCTGCTGCTGCTTTACCCCCACGCGCGCGATTGATATCGCGCCAATCACGGAGGAGCTGATTGGCTGTCTCCATTGACATGCCACAGAAATCAGGCACGAGGTGTGCACAGTTAGCATGGCAGGTGATATCGCACTCTGAGCACTTGCGTGCATTCTTGCGACCAAGGGGAAGCATGTAACCGCAGTGGCAGCACCAGTTTGCGCCGATGTTTGTGAGGGGCTCGAAGCGATGGGGGATGCGATGGTTGATCTTCTCTTCATCACCCTCCTGGAGATGGAAGTGTGAGAGACGATGAGATAGGAGGGAAGGTACGTACCCCAGTATTTGACTTTGATATACACTTGGTAACGACTTTCTCGTAACATTTCTTGTGACAGGTGTATCGGCAGTCTTCACACTGGTAACCCAGGGCGTTGAGTAGAAAGTCGTTGCAAAAGGCACAAAGCATGAGTTGATAGAACTGCCGTTGTACGAATTTATGGCCATTCATCTCGTGGACTTCACCCTTTCGTTTTCTGACAGCGCCCTGGCGGCCGAGACCACCGGGAGCATCTAGCGGGCGCTTGCGCACGTTCTCCTTGACTGAAACTCGGCATAAGAATCCGACTCACAGACTTGGAAGTCACTTACCGAAGTTGAGATGTAATGCAAGGGCGCCGACCGGTTCAACCGCGAACCACGCATCAATGCCTTCGTTCTGACTCGTGAATGCCGTTGTGCCACCTGGTGGATTACCTGCCCCATCAGGTTCTATATTGAGAGGAGCATTGACATCGCCGAATCCACCCATATGCTGAGGGGAACGATTGACAGGAGAGTCACCATCCATGGCACCAGCAGTGACCCAGCCACCCTGGCTGTCCATCATGACCTTTTGTCGTCTGAGCGCTTCGACAAGGTCGCTGATTCTTATCCAGAGTAATCCAATAGGAGCCGGGTGAACTTCGGATACTTGTTTATCATAGACCGCGATTTCGACTTCGTTAGCTTTATCGACGGTGATTTCAAAATCTTCATTCCAGCGGTCGGTTCGTGAAGGGTGGGAACGAGCGCGTTGGGTTCCTTCAATTTTAAGTGATACGAAGGTCTCACGGACCTGTTTGGAGGAAGGACGGGATCTGAAACCGGTTACGATTGGAGTGTGTTCGAGTTCGCGTGCTCCTTTGACAGTCACGTAGAGCTTGCCGGATAGCGGCTTAGCGCGTAAATTATCTTTACGTTCGCCATCGGGACCTGGCCCATGAGATTTGAAATTATGTGGATTGAGGGGCACAAAAAGGGAACTGACCTGCTGGCTGCTCTTCTTCCTCGACGTCATCGAGGATATGGAGGTTCTTGTAGCATTTGAGAGCGGATTGAAGGAGTTGAATTTTCTTCTCGCTCTCAACACGCTTGCTTTCCGCATCTGCGCGAGATTTCTTGTCGCCGTCTGCCTGATAAAGCTTGGACATCTTGTCGATGCCCTTCTTGTACTGCATTTCGACTTGCAGTTTGAACTCGAGCTGATGAAGCATACGAGATATCTTTGGAGTTGTAAGGGGGGTATCTGCTTTGATAAGATCGAGGTTTGTATATTGCTTTGCCTTGGGAATGCCGTCTGTATCATCGCCGGGGACGAGAGTGGCACTAGAAGAGGCTCCACGAGTGGAATCTTGATCAAAGGGGGGGATTCGGGGAAGTGAACGATCTCTATCAGAGGAACGACCTGGTTTGAATAGTTGTTGATGAGGAGATGTAGCAGTACCCGATCTAGAGGGATCATCGCGCTGTAGCTTACGAGCTTGTAGTTCGCGGAGAGTATCCTCGAAATAAGAAAGCGAACGCTCTGCCTCGCGAACTTTTGCATCATTTTGACGCAGAACATCGGGATTTGTGGTTGCTTGTCTGATTAAGCGTGAAGCGTCGATGAATTTGCGTTCCTTCTCGATGCGCTTGAAGACATCTTGTATTTTCTGGTCTAGCTCGACGGTCGACTGTGATAAAGGAGACTTGTTTGACTGTGAATTTAAAGCGGAAAGAGAGAGCGCACCATGACCGTTGAAGACCTGTGCTATCTGTAGGTCGTAGTAAGAGAGGGCGTTATACAGCAGCGGGCTGTGGGGCCAGATTACTGATATATCGATAAACGCCCAACGGGGCACTACAGACTTGGCTAACACCCATATATAGACTTAGCAATTTAGACTTGGACTTACATATGGACTTAAACTTATAATAATAATTCAATAATTCTCAATGCCCTCCTTTTCCTCCTCTTCGTCAATTCGTGCTGCGTCCGAACAGTGTCTATTGAACGTAAAAATTGTGCACAAGCTCTATCATGGCTCTCCTTCTAACGTCTTTTATAAAGTCAAGGGCAGACTACCAAAAGAATTGGACGTTCTCCTACTTTCCGATTTGATTTTTTCTATTTCAGGTTCTCTGGATGGCCAGACTGTCCCTGCAGGTGCAATCGCGCACTCTGCATTGATGCGCCACCTCCGCAATGGCCTTAACGAAGCACGTAGCGCAGCCACTTGATTCCGTTTTTCTGATGTGACAATCCATTCCAGAACGCACTTCAGCTTGGTTTAAACACCATTTCTAACGCATACATTGACGACGACGACGACGGCCACGCCAAAAGTAAGTTCTTTGATTCTACGTCATCTACTCACGTACATTTTCCCTCTACAGTAACTCTGACGCCATCGCGGTCCCTATCCCATACATCCCGCCCACATGCTATTCTCGTGGAGCTGGATCTATGTTATATTTGGAAAACCGCAGGCAATCGCGAAGGCTCCATAAACCTTCTCAGTGATGCCAGCCCGTTCGCAGATAACCTGTACCTGCCCTTTGAGCTCCTCCTCAAGCGCGTCACAGAGCAGCTTTTCAATCAGCTTGTTGGGTGCGTTTCCGCAGTCAGAGCTGAATATATGCCCTCTCATATGACTCAGACGCTATCCCCTTATCTTTGGCACGTGGTGCAGAGTATGTTGGTACCTTTTCTGCTCAACCTCCCTGACAATGCACAGAGACTCGACATGGAGTCCGAGTACTTTTCTTCCGTCGCACAGTCCGTTCTCGAAATAATGGGTCGGTCCCCCAATCCCCATTTTATAGCACGTTGTAAGCGACTGATTAAGGTGTGTTTTCTACTTCTGCCCGTGCACACCACAAATATCTTTCTAGACCGCACGTGCTCGCCACCAGTCTGTGCTCCGAACCTCCGTGGCAGCTCTCTCCTTGTGTTTCGCCTCCCGTGACTCAGAAGATTCGGACGAAGGCGAGCAAATCAGTGCTCCGAATCTCACACCAGAAGCCGTATTGTGCGAGTCCTTGGAGCAGATATTCAGAGCGGGGGTCCCCCAGACCCGCTTCAAGGTATGAATTCTCCCATTCAGGGACGACAAACGTGCGAGTTACTCAGAGCCAGGTCATCACCGCACGCTCAACTCTATTGACTTCTTCAGCTGGAGATGACGATCGACTAATTGAGGATGATGCCATAATCAACAACACACAAATTGATTGCCCTTTAGCTTGGCCCAATCTCCTTGATATTCGCATGGATAACTCCGTTCCGGCTATTGATATCCAGCAGACCGTGCCGAACGACATGGATGATCTTTTAGAGGACTGGCCCGAAGAAGCGCTACCCTGGTCCACGTTTTCTGGCGCATGGACCACACACTCGGACGATTCTCTTATCGAAGGCCTAGGCTCTTCATCTCAACTACGTAGCACTACGCCCCCTTTGGCATGGTCCTATCTAACTGAAAGTGAAGACGATAGCTTCGCGTTGGATCTAGAACCTGATCATGAGCAAGAGGATGCCATCATGGAGGATGCCGATTTCGAACGTGTTGTGTTTCACCCATCCCTGTCAAGTCATGGTACGAAATTGACGTTTTTGGGGCGACAAGAACAACCTGGAGGAGTGGAGGAATTCGACGTGCTTGTTGATGAAGAATGGAACTGTGAGGACGAGTTGTTGTTCGATCTGGCCGACGTATTCGATGACTCGGGTGGTGTTGGTGTTGAAGATGAGACTGTATCTATTGCTGTCTCACAAGTTCCGGACGGAGGTCCTGATCAAGACATCCTACAGGTAAAGAGCAATACCGCGGATCAAGAATATGGTTTCGACACACACTTTGGCGTGGATGGTCAGGTGGTCCAGGGTAGCACAGATGACTGTTTTACGGATGTCTGGGATCTATAGTAACGTGTTTTTCTGCAACAAAGTCTGACTTGGGAAACAAATTTGCTGAAACTGATTGTGACATATGAGATCCGACATACGATGCCGGGTATAATTGAAATGTTTGATTGAGACTCCGCCACTCCGCTTAGGTAATTACATCTTTGAGGGAAAGACTTGGAAACGCTTAGAAACGACAAGTTATCGACAAACTTTTGTTTCCATTCGACTCATCGGTACAGCTGGGCTTCCTCTTCAACGCTCTCGAAGGCTTTTCTAGCTCCTCCTCCTTCATCGTCTTTTGCCTCTAGCTCGTTCTGCTCGTCACTTCGCCATGCTGCCGTTCAAGCGCAACAAGATCGACATCAGTGTGAGTTGTCGATGCCTCGTGCCCCTTCCAAACCCATGAATTCATCATGGCTTATACAGAAACTGTCGGAGGAGGAGCAGAAGCTCTTTCGACTGTACGGCAAACTTCCAGCACACAAGAACATTTTGACTAAGATGCAAGGGGTAAGTTACATGTCTCACTATTCGCCTTTGTTCTTATTGTATGCACTCCAGGATCGGAAATATTTCGATTCGGGTGACTATGCACTCTCCAAAGCCGGGGTCGCACCACAGAATACCGTCGGTACTGCGATCCCTAATCCAGACAAGTAAGCTCTGTCCTCCATTCTTACTGCGCACAGTGACTCACTTCACAACCGCACAGCATCCCACATGCATCATCACCGCCGACATCCCACACCGGCGGATTAAGCGTATCCCCCACAAACAGCTCATGTCCCGCAAAAGAGAGTTCGCTCTCCCATTCCGAGGAAGAAGAGCCAGAGAAGGAAGATGCTGATGCAGAGGACCAGGAGGAAGCATAGACGTTTACTCTTCTCCTTCACTTCCATGCCCATCCACATCCCGACTTATTGATTCTTCAAAGAGCTTGAAGACGCTGCGTTTCGCTCATGTATTCCCTATGTATCATCGGTACCCTCATCCCATGCCTTCCAGATTCAATGCTTGGCTACCCTTACCTGATCTGTAGTCTGCTGTTGTTTTTGAATCTGTTTTGTATCAGTAACTACATAGTAGGATCCGCTCATCGTACATTCATCTGTTCGTATTCTGCAGGTACTGCATATCTATAATAATTCTGGGACTTGGTGTGATGTGTGACTTGTGTGACTGCTTCTGTGATGTGAATGACTAATATATAGCACAGTGTCGCGCTTGTGGCTGGACGCGTCCATTTCGCGCGTTTCTCATTCTGTTCAATTCTGATCAAAGATGTCTTCCTTACGCAGCGATATTTGCGAATGGCTTGGAGCTACAGACTCAGAGGAGGACTCAGAAGCCCTTGTAAACGAATGTACAATCTCACATTTGAATCTACAAAGAACGGTCATTAAACCCACCCGACAGGTGTATCCATATGCCAGATGTACAATCTAACAGCAAAGGACCTCCAATATAAATGGGAAGCTTTCTCGTACGGTAAAGCGCAGACTATCCTCCGCTTTACACACGAATCTGCAGCAGACATGAAGGCCCAGATCCAGCGGGAGATACAAGCCAAGAATGCTAGCAGCGTGTCCAAGCCAACAGCGCGCGGGAAGCTAGCGAATTCTACGAAATTTGTGGGGGTGAACGCCAAGGGACTTACTGGGCCGCTCAAGGCCGCGGCTCAACCGCCGAAAGCACTTTTCGGAGGCATGCCAAGCGTCCCTGTGAAGCTTGAGCAGGACTTTGATGGTCCGATCGCCAGTTCAAGTAGGGTCACTTTTGTGGGTCAGAAAGAGGCTAGACAAAATCGCGCTTGTGAGTGTTAATCACGATCCCAGTATTCCCGCTCATCCAGCCCAAGATCGGTACATGTATGAAACATTGGGCGAACGAAGCGAAAGTGCGTGTGTCTCTGGCAAACCTCGTGGATGCTGCTCAAGCTGAGACTTTCTCTAGCTCTAGATACACAACTTGATGGGTTTGGCGAACTCATTTTGAAACATTATCGGGATGTCGGTCAGTTGGGTCATCCCGGTGTTTTCTCCGAGGTATGAGTACTTTGACTACTGGTTTTGCTAGCTGATTTTTGGTGTAGGAATCTTGTGTTGTCGTGGGCCGGATCGTACTGGACGCTGAGGCTTCTGGGTCAGGCATCAAGTTGAACAATCAGTCGCTGATTCTCGAGGCATCGCGATCGCACGGCGATGGACTCCGTGTGCCTCTGCAACTCGCGCCAGATCTCAAGATTCGGGGAGGGTATAAAGGCTTGGGTGGTGTGGGCTTATTTCCTGGTGCAGTTGTAGCGCTCAAAGGGCGCAACGGTGGTGGAGGTTATTTCATTGCGTCTGAGATTCTGGCTGTGAGTAATTTGAGTCTCTGGTTTTCTTGTTGAAATTCAAGGTGTACCTCGCAGATACCCCCGATGCCAGCATCTCCTGCCCCACCTAGTAACGTAGCAGCAAGTTTCGACGTGTGCATAGCATGCGGGCCATTCACTCCAGACACTAACCTCGACTACAAATTATGGAAAACTCTCATCAGCAACCTCAAGGCATCAAAACCTGCCGTTGTCCTACTCGTATGTACACTTATCATTCAATTTAATATTCGAATATCACAATCCAATCAGCTCGGGCCATTCGTAGATGCTACACATACCCACATACAGGACGGCATGGTTGACGCGACACCATCAGACATTTTCAAAAGCCAATTTATCGCTCCCCTCCGCGATTTCCTTTCTCAATCACCAACAAGCACGGTCCTTCTCGTACCAAGTGTGAAGGACATCATCAGCGACCACGCAGTCTTTCCTCAATGCGAGCTTGATGACGAGTTTCGTGGCGATCCAGTGGGTTTTTCGAGTGCTATTCTCCTGCTCTCGAGCCAATCAACTATTAATTTCAGCGGATACGACTCCTTCCTAATCCTGCGCGCTTCTCACTGAACGCGATTTCTTTCGCTGTGTGCAGCGTGGATGTATTGTATCACCTACGGAAGGAGGAGTACTTTAGACGCGGAGAGGAAGTAGATTCTATCGTATGCGAACCGGAGGTTGCTAGCGACCCTATGTCGAATCTTAGCAGATATGTTTTGCAGCAGAGAAGGTGTGACTTTTGCTATCATTCAACTTCCAGCAACTTACATCCGACGATCTGCATAGCTTTTATCCGATATTCCCTGTTTCCTTGGACATTGCACACGAAGTCAATCTTGACAGTATCGCATTCCGCAGAGTTGAGAGTCGCCGAAAGTCCCGACGATCCAGGTCCTGACGTGATGATACTGCCCAGTCGGTTGAAACACTTTTCAAAGGTGAATCCACTTCCTTTATACCATCCCGTCGTCTCTTTAGCATCTGCTGCAGGTCGTGGACAATTCAGTTGTCGTCAATCCGTCATATGTGGCAAAGAACACGTATGCCACCCTCTCTTATTCTGGACAGGGAACAGGATTTCCCAAAGATCGGATATCGGCTGATATTGCAAAGTTGTCTTAGGATACCTCGGGTGACTGCTCGCATGATGTCGCATCTTGGATATAATTGTCATATATGTTGCTCTTTTGCGATGTGTTCATACTGCCGATGCGATCAAATCACGACAAACTGCGATGACAGCATCGTCAGCTTGTTGCTTCTATCTCGAGCATCTGATGTGGTTCTTGGTGTACACCTTTACCTTTACCTTGCAACCCCACAGAACTCTTATAGAAAGCATGCGTTGCACATTATGATCATTGACAAAATGTTTCTATGACGCTCGGTAAGAACTATTTTCATGGCACCAGACCACTATAAGTGAGTTCTCTACATCCCGTCAGCTATACATGCCTTTGAAGCTAAGGTCGTAAGTGTACAGTGGTCATCGTGTAGATCAGCTAGATCTAGCATTTCAACTAGATATCGATGTCCTACACGGCACACTGGAGGCTTCACATGAGTCATGATCATTACGTGATGGCTAGATCTTAGGGTTGGCCGAATTGAAACCATGTAGGAAAAGGTGCGATCACTGCGATGCTCTTGCAGTAGTGGCAGGAATCGAAATCGGGATGTCGTGTTCTGCTCTGACAGCGGGTGGAAACTCAGAGACAGTGAGTTGAGTGCCCTCAACCACCGAATCATGATAACCTCTAGCTTCGTCTGAGACGAATCTGAGTTTGTTTTTGATCCAAAGGTAGTCACAGTCTCCTTACCACCGAGTGTGGATTTTATATTTGGACTTCAATTGCAAACAAGATGCACACACTTGGCAAGGAGGAGATCGTCTAGCAATATCGGGGATGAGATAAGTAGTCACGGTGGAAAAGGAATTTCTGACTATCATAGTGGTTAGTACGACACTTTGACCTGCATATTGGCAGACGCAGAGCTCCTTAGCTTCGATTTGTCTGGACTCTGGATACTGGCACTGTAGTGAATGATTAGTAGCCGCTGTCGACCGCAGTGGACACGTGGAACCTGTCGTAATTGACCAGCGCTCAGCATTTCATTTCCTCTCCTGCACACACCATGGCGGCCATAGACCTGCTGCAGCCTGCAGGCATGAATATTTTCAACCTTGAACGTCAGCTGACTCAACTCGAACCACTCTCGCAGGTTTCTACTGTTTCATTACTAGGATTTCTATTGATGTGCATGTTCATTGCAATTCAAACTTATCTATCTGTATTTTATGCTGATGAAAGGCGGATAACCCAACAGTACCCGTTGTCTTCGCCCACTTGCACTCTTCAGCTTCATCTACCCTGTGTTCTTGACAGTCCTCGTATGACTTGATTGTGGTATCACAGCATGGCAGATGATGTGGAACAGTGTCGAGCGGCCTTGAAGAGATGTCCCCCCAGCCATTCTGATCAATCAGAGTCTCTCAACAATCTTGCTATCAGCCTTGGAGACAGATTCATGCAGCAGGTGTTCTGTCTAACCTTGATGAATGCATCGAGCTCCATTGAGGGGCACTACTCCTTTGTCCCCCCAGTCATTCTGATTGATCATACTTTCTCAACAATTTCGCCCTTGGCCTTCGAAACAAATTCAGGCAGCGGGGCATTCCATCCTGACCTTGATGAGTGCATCGAGCTCCACCAAGTTGCACTACTCCTTCATCCTCCTGGTCATTCTGATCGATCATGCTCTCTTGACAATCTTGCTGTCAGCCTTCGAGACAGATTCACGCAGCAGGGCGTCCCATCTGACCTTGATGAGTCCAATAAGTCCCATTGGGCTGCACTACTCCTTCATCCCCCCGGTCATTCTGATCGATCAGAGTCTCAACAATCTCACTCTCAGCCTTGGAGACAGATTCAGGCAGGGGGGTGTCCCATATGACCTTGATGAGTGCATCGAGCTCCATGGGGCTGCACTGCTCCTTTGTCCCCCCGGCCATTCTCTTCGATCATACTCTCTCCACAATCTTGCCATCAGCCTTGGAGACAAATTCAGGCAAGCAGGGTGTCCGGTCTGACCTTGATGAGTCCCTCCATTGGGCTGTATTACTCCTTCGCCCCCCCCCCGGTCATTCCTACCGATCGCAGTCTCTTAACAATCTCGCCATCAGCCTTCAAGACAGATTCATGCAGCGGGGCATGCCATCTGATATTGATGAAACATTTAGCTTGCTCTTGCAACTTCCACACATATCTTATGCAGTCTCTCGTGCGGATCTTACTGCTGCCAAGTCATGGGCTACCACGGTTGAAGTGGAAGACCATGGTTCTGCATTGCTTGCATATCAAGCTGCATTGAAATTCCTAGATCAGCATGTCACTCTTTTGTCCTCTTCGCTACGTCATTTCGATGTCGTGAGGATGGCTATGGCGTCCCTTGCTGTGGACACTTTCTCGTGCAGTGTTCGTCACGATGCGCTGTGGAGCTGGTTGAGCAAGGCCGTGCAGTATTCTGGACCCAGTTGGCACGCTTAAGCTCGCCGTTCGATGAACTTTCCCTGCCCGGTGACATTGGCGGAGCCTTGGCGCAAGAGTTCAAGCAGCTCAGCTTTCGCCTTCGTAGCGCATTCGATCAGTCCACTGAAGAGCAGTCCCCAGAAATCCAACAACTGACCATGCAATGGAACAATGTCGTCTCCCGCATCCGTATGCTCCCTAACTTATCTCGGTTTCTTCTACCTCCCTTGTTCTCTGACCTACAGATGGCCACTAAAGAAGGTCCTGTCATCATTGTCGATGCCAGTCAGTATGGCTGCGATGCCTTGATTGTCCTACGTGACCAAAATCCTGTCCACGTTCCAATTGATGTCACGCGGACCGAAGTCTCCGAGTTGTGCTCCGATTTTCACTCCGTCGCAGAGCAATTTGGTTCTTCCAGATATCAAAACAAGCTTGCGGGCGTCCTCCACAAGCTTTGGCATGATATCGTTGACTCCGTGGTCCAAGCCCATGGGGTGTCGGATGTTCGCCCTGGTTCGTGTATCTGGTAGTGTCCCACCGCTGAGTCCACTTTGCTTCCTCTACATGCAGCAGGTCCCTATGAGAGGGAGGAAGACAACCTGTCACAGATTTACAACCCCTCTTATACACCCACGTTGGCGACGCTCGTTCGTGCGAGACAACGCGTCTCTCAATATGCATTCACTTAATATTTTGTTGCCACTGGTCAAGGAAACCCGGATAGAGAGAAGGAACTGCGATGCGTCGCCCCTGAGTTAGCCGCCATAGCTCAGCGTCTCGCACCCATCGTGTCGTCCTTCACGTCGCTCGAGGACGGCGACGCAACAGTGCAGGGTGTTCTCGATGCACTAAACCATAACCAGTGGCTTCACTTGGCCTGCCACGGAACGCCGAATCGACAACGACCATTTGAATCTTCCTTCGCAATGCGTGATGGGCCATTGATGATCAAAGACATCATCCGATCAAACTGGCAGAACCCAGAGTTTGCATTCTTATCGGCTTGCCACACTACCGTGGGCGATGAGAAGAGTCCCGACGAGTCAATCCATCTCGCCGTGGCGATGCAATTCTCCGGATTTCGTAGTGTGATTGGCTCTATGTGGTCCGTCGACGATAAGGTTGCACGGCAGGTTGTGTCTGCTTTTTACGACAGGTTGGTGGATGATTCGGGGAGATTAGACTGCACGCGGGCTGCGGTAGCGTTGCACAAGGCCGTGAAGAATTTGCGGCGCAATAACATTCCACTGGAACAGCAGATCGTATTTGTTCACATAGGTGTCTGGTTTGAGGCTCGATTCATTATTCTATTGCAGTTTCTGTGACCCCCATTGCTTTCATTCCCCCGCTGTCATACGTTGTTTAAATCATGTCTGCACGATACTTTGGATGTTAATTTTTTCATTACCTGATGGCGAGGCATTAGGGTTGGCCGAATTGAACCGATGTAGTAAAAGTTGCGATCGCTGCGATGCTCTTGCGGTAGTGGCAGGAATCGAAATCGGACTGTTGTGTTCTGCTCTGACAGCGGGTGAAGACTCAGAGACAATGGGTTGAGTGCCCTCAACCGCCGAATCATGATAACCTCTGGCTTCGTCAAGACGTGAATCTGAGTGTGTTTTTGATTCAAAGGCCCGTAGTCACGATCTCTTTACCAAATGTGGATTTTACGTTTGAACTTCAACTGCAAACAAGATCCACACACTTGGCAAGGAGATCGTCTGGTGATATGGGCGTCAGGCCACCGGGGGTGGGATTAGTAGAGAAGGAATTTCTGACTATCGTAGTAGTCGACATGAGTGCGCGTACACGATGAGATATTGAGAACATATCAAGAGGCCAAATACCGGACAAACAGTGATGAGACAGTCCAGACGAGTGATGGGCTTGACAGACCTTTGGAAGAACCCAGTTTGAGTGTTACTCATAAGAAAAACTGTTTACACGAACTCTGATGGCCAGTCGTGCGCGTGATCATCCTGTGACGCGGCACTGTCACAATTTCACAAATCTTGAGGGACCATGTGAAATATCGTCAAGCCTTCCAGTACTCTGTACCACCATGTCAAGTCTCATTCAGGCTGTGTCAGGCACCACTCGTACCACGACAAGTTCTCCCCAACATATTTGAAGCCTCTGTACTCATCTCAACCTCTACACTTACCTGTACTGCGTCAAACAAATTGTACCGCGTCGATGCCTCATCAATAGCGCGTCAAACCTTATCCATGCCGCGTCAAACCCCATCCTGCGCGTCAGCACTTCAACCGTTAGTGTAACTTGAAGGTATTTTCAACCTGTCATAATAATTGATTTTCTAACAGTGTCTTCTTTCGTCCTAACACTGCACTTGCCCATAGGCAATCTGTCCAGGTGGCTATTACTGCGACAGTATCGCTCGACGACATGGTGGATCAAGGTGATAAAGGGTATGGTATCTGAATCAGTTATAAGACCTCGAGGGCCCTTTATACTCTGATACTCTGATAACTTCGTGGTGTTATGTCTTGAAAACACATGTATGTAAATTTTCAAGTTGTTCAGCGACCCGATGCAGCTTGCAGAGGCAGGATAGTTGTGCTCATCACGCTTCCATACCCCAGGAAAATTGATGTCTATTATGGGTTTGAACGCACAATGTTTATCTAGGAGTACTACCTGGCTAGGGCGATCGATTTCGACTCAGCAATACTAACTGGCCTCACTTTGCCTCACGGGAGCGCAGGCTGCAAGGTTTAGCTCGGAAAACGGCGTGAGCGCTAAATTGTAGTACTACTGCGAAAGACTTGTTCAGCTTGATCGACTGTCATGCTGGTTTATCGTGGCCTTTGTGTAATTCGCTCGTGAAGTCGCGTACTTGAGACATTGAAACGAAAAATTAACGTGGACCAATATTATTGTGCAGTAGTGACTCAAATTTCAGATGGTAGTACTCTGATTCGAGATGTTCCACGTACGTAGGACCCTGTAGGATCTTCGGATTTTTGGGAACTTCTAGGATCGCCGGTGGTGTCATGCCGAGCTCGGAGAGTCGGAGGCAACAAAGGTCTCCTTCCACCTCAGTGGCGGAGCAGCGAGCCTTGAAGATATTTTGGAGCGGGAATACTCATCTGAATGTTTCTACTGAACGCCTGGTAAAGATTTGAATCCCAGGTTACGGTACTCACTTAAGTCAGGGCGGAAGAGTCTAAAGTATATCTTGGCAAGTCAGCTACATGTCATGTCATCGACCAAGATTACAACGATTCGACAATAGTTTGAAGGTTGAATTGAACGTGTCACCGCTAAAAGTTGTCTCATATATGAATGGTATAAAAAAGAGACGAACTACCTGAGCAGCATAAAAGTTCTGTGTGTATCGTTCAACTGCATAGCTGGTTGTGTGCCTGTCGATGCATTGCCAGACTGACGTGGATATTGTAGCTCCTCTATTTAAAAAGGGGAATCAAGAAACTCCTACTAAAAAGCCAATCAAGTGCCTCTCACGAGACAGGTACTAGGGACCCAGCACCGGACCCAGCATAAATACAGTCCATCTTCACATCCGGGAGCGGATAATCGCTCGTCCCTTTTCAAAAGTGTCAGAGCAGTAGCATTGTGAGCACATAATCACCCTACCAGCATGACAGTACGGAATTCCGTCCTCCTTGTGTCCCCACCACATCACAGGCGACCACTCGTCCACAAGGTTGGCGAGCGTCTGGAGGTGACCGTATGCAGCCGGCTGGGGACCGCGCGGTCGGCGCAGTGCGACGAAAGTGAAGAAACATGAAAATATGAACAGCGCTATGCATAAGTTCCAGATCTGCACAAGGATGTGAGGACATTGTAGCAGTTTTACATAGGCAGTAAGTGCAAACCTGGCCAGTGTACATGAATACTGCAACCGGAAGTGTTGTTTTCCCATCAGTGGAGGTGGCATCTATGACGAGTGAGAGCCCAAACATCCAGTCTGTGATCGTCGAGGGTAGTGTTCAATAACACCCATAAAAATACTAGACGGGAATAACTCACGCAGGAAAGGCTTCGCGACGAAAAGGACAAGACAAATCGGATGAGTGAAAATCATCTTCAATGGATTCGTCGCCGTTCGAAGTCCATTCCTTCCAGTAGCGCATCTCCATTGTCTTTCGTCTCGAATGACATTTGCGATGAGCTCTGAGCAATGCAGCCCAAGCGTCAACGGCCCCTGGATAGCTGCCATGTTGACATAGAGCAGAATCCACGCGAAACCCGGCATATGATACCCGATGGAATTGGACGACTCGTTGTGCAAGAATGACCACGTTTGTATGGTCAGTGCATGGTCGGACAGCATACCATCTTGGTATGCGTACTTATGCCAGATATACATGACGAGCGCGGCCCATCCAGCGCATGCTGCAACGACCACCCAGAGAAAAATGACAACTTTCCGGATGCTAGGGTGAGCATGCCATGCAGAAGGTTGTATCTCGGATGGCTTCGCTGAACCTCCATCCGTGTCTAGGTCGGACACGCAACGCATGCACCGCAAAGTAACCGGGGTCAATTGCGTGTGGTGGACTAGTGCAGCGGTCAGGTCGAAAGGTGAGGAGCTCCACGTCAATATTTTGACAGCCCGTATCCCTGACAATACGATCATCACTTGGAACAGGAGTGCGACGCCCAAAATGAGAAGAGGTAACCCTGCAAAGGCAATACCATGCTCAGACAGTGTGGATTCATAGTCGATGCATACGGCGAGTGAGGCCGAGCTGTAGGATATAATGAGGAGGACAGCCGAGATACCGTTAAGGAGGACGCCGTTAGGATTATACCATCTACGAGCTGCGGTAAGAAGGCGCAGATTAGTGTTGAAACGAAGCCGAGATTCTGAGGCTAGCGCAGAGCGCAATGAGATGCTATGCACAAAAGCCTATGGATTCGGTGCATAACGTGACGATTAGGTTAAGTGCCAGGGTCAATATTTCCCCCCGCAGGGACAACCGAGACCACTGAGACTCCGTCTCAACACTGACCAGGTTGGACACGGCTACAGCATAGACTCCACGTTTGGCTAGCATGACAATGCCTGCAGCGATGCATGAGCAGCTGATGATACTCAAGCATGCCACTCCGACAAGGGCATATCCCCGCGTTGTTAGACTGCGATCGTAGAAATCGGTTCTAGTATCAGCAGTGAACTTCGTATCAGATGTTATTGAGTCAAAGTCCTGATAATTCGGGAGTGCGTCATATGCAAGAAGACCGGACGGGTGCGGACTTTCATCTGTCGGGTTGGAAGAACCTGTCATGGGAGGCAGAGATATGAAGGCCAGCGCATTATGGACACGCAGATTATGTATACCAGTGATATCTGGCATAAATAGACTGCCCATGCGTAAATTGCGCAAATGTGACCTCAATGCGACTTCAAAGATGCTCACCTTCATGAGAACATCAAGTTGATCAATTGATGCATCCCAAGCGTGATAAATTTGTTTCTGTCAATGAGAGTTACCCGACGTCAACGTTGCACATACCTATCGACCATGGCCTATTTGTGTGCTAACTCTTTGTCAGTAATAGCCTTGTTATCTCCGTTAACAACACCAATAATCTCTCAGGCTAAACGCCCCTCCACTTTCTTCCCACTCTTTGTTTTTACTGGCAGGTAATACAACATGAACACCCTTGTGCGCTGTTGTTCTGTAAGCGTAGCAGGTCTCACAACGTTCTTTCCTGAGCGCTTCTGTGACATGCACTTGACAGCGGGGGGAGCGGTGATCAGAGCATGGCGGAGGATAGGTAGTGGCGGCGCGCGGGTAAGAGCGTGAATATAAAGCAGGGTACGGGAACCAATGTGTTTTGCCCTTGCACGCTTTCCATGGTTAAGCGGGGAAGATGTGAGGAAATGGAGAAGGGGGTCGGATGCTGGCGGACTAAATATTTATGAAGCGTCTGCAGTTGAAGTTTGGGTTGGGGATGTGGGAGGATAAAAATGAGGGTGGTCAGAGTAGTTTTAGGATTTTCAATAAAGCTCGCTGAGGCCCACCCGCTAAAGCTCGGGTAAGTAGAGCTTACAGGAAACCAGTCATTACCAAAACTTCAAAAGCCTGGTGTTGCCTGATTAGGCTGATGCTGACGAATTGTTTTGGATCATGGGTGACGCCGCTGTGACATTGATGTAAGCATTCAATCTCAGTCAAAACCCGCAACAGCATCACCAAAATTCCCCAAATCGGATAAGGGCTGGTAAGGGCTGGCCAGGATGCGGAAGGTCAGAAAAGGCGGACCAGGCGCATCAGTGTACGGAAGGTGGGTAACGAAACATATAAGGTCTGGTTGATAAAAGCTTTTTCAGGCCAGGTCATTAGGTAGCTCGCACCTTAGCACAGTTTGTAACCTTAGAAGCATTGATATGTCGAAAGTTCATCAGGAAAAAATTGAAGTGCAACATAGCGCTACATAGGCTACATACCACTCATAGCCTCATTGCAGGTCCCCCCCCTACATAGCACTATATACCTCAGGCTATATCATTATTTGCACTACATTGTATCCAGTATCTCGTACATCAGCTATATAGCCCTGCTATGTAGTGCCACATAGCCTCCAATAGTAAGCCAACATAGTTCATACCACTCAAACCAATGAGAACAATGATAAGCATTCATGATTCATTATTATTCTACTTGTCTTCATATCTGTTGTGCTCAGATTGACTACCATCCTCATCCGAGTCCTCATCATCAGTCTCATTCACACCACTCCCCTGCTGGTATTCACGTGAATGGCATTGTGAATTTCATCATCTGAGAGACAGTCTCTTTCTCTGACATCAGCCACATCTACTTTTGCGTGGATTCTGTACTGTCATCAGCAAATCTGTGAGATTTCAATATTTGAAAGACACTTACCTCCCATTAGGGTACTGCACAGGTAGGGGTACCACCCAGGTAGGGGTAGGGGTCTGGGTTTGAGGTACCCACACCCCTACCTGTACCCTGCTTCCAGGTATTGTATAGAAGTCAAAATGTGACTACATAAAAATGTGACTACCCAAAGAGGGTACTGTACAGCTGAAAATCGTATCAAACTCTAAAGCATATTCATGAACTACACTAGCCCGACAAGTAAAAATTCAACAGCCACGATGCAACTCAACATGTTCTCAGGTCCAGCAAAATGCATCAGCAAAATGACAACCAAAGCCAAAGCGGCCCTGGAAGAGAAGGCAATAGGCACATCAAAGAAGTGGAAACCTGAAGCAGACAGAGATCACACAATTGCACAACTAAAGAAGGCAAAAACTCACCCAGCAGCTGGGAACACCAGCAATCTCACAGTGGCCAACCAAGGTTCTGTGACATCATCAATTGAACCCTCAAAATCACCATCTCCACCTGCAGTGATGAGTTGTCAGGCTGTAGTTCGCACTGAGGAAGAGGAAGCTGCATTATGCACCAATGAGGATGACTTAGGGTCCAAAGACAGCAAGAGTGGATCACAAAGCAGTAACAGCAAGTTGGAGAGCAAAGAAGAGACACCTGAAGACCAGCTGAGTATGTTCAGCATACTATGAATTAATATGATTTTAATAAATCAATAGAATGGATGATGAAGGATTGGAGCTCACCTGTTTATGCATTTTTTGATCCCATGCCAAAGATTGTCACAATTGATGGACATGGTGTCTTACTACTTGAGGGTCTTATATAAGTTGAGGTGAAATACAATGACTATCACAATTGTACTTCAATAAGACTAAGGTGCCAGCTCCTCAAGTTCATGGTCAACAGATTTTCTACTTCTCGGTTGATAACTTGTTGTTCATGGGTGGCCAAAGGGTAATAAATTACTTCTTTGCTAGATCACTTCTTGATAGTAAAGGGAAGTATATATTTTGTCAGGTTAACTTAAACCTAGTAGGTAATATGGACCTCTGCTGAATTGAATATAATAGACTGTTGTATAGGTGGTCCCTGTAAGATAGTATACAACCAATCTAGACTAGAAATACTATAGTTTTCAAAGGCAATCTTGAGGCCTTCACTTTCTTCATAATCTCACACTATTGAGACAGAAAGAGGGAAAACTCCTGCACTTCAAATCTTACAAATCTCATGGTTTGAGACAAGAAAGAAGAGGGAAAAACTTGTTGATTATGTGAGAATGGAGTCCTTATATACATATTAGAAACCATCCTTACTAAGCAATGACTCATCACTGGATTGGTAAGAATATGCTTACAAACCAAGCCTTTTGGTGTGCTGAATCAGCTGCTTACTAAAGTACATGAGTAAAATATTACAAAGCATGACAAATCATGACAAAACATGATAAGTCATGGAAATTATCCTTACAAATCAGAATATTACCAGTCACATGACATGCTTACAAACATATCTGAGTGGTTCACTGATGTAATCAAGTGGCTGAAACTATAAATACAAGTAAATAAATAAAGGGAAATAGATGACTAAGCTCATGAGTGAGAAACATATCCTCATACACTCTCCTAATCATCTCCTTCTATACTTCTTATATATGTCATGGTATGAACTCCATACCATGCACAACAGCAGGGCACACAAGTTTAAATGCCAGGCAAAAGGCTGCAAAGCCAAAGTTAGACGTTTTCTTGACAAAGGAGATGCACACTCAACTGGCAATATGTGCAAGCATGTGTGTTTGTGTTGGGGTGCTGATGTGTTGTGAGCTGCAGACAAGGCAAAAGATGCCAATGAGGTCCAGTCCAAGATCATTGGTAGCATTCTATGAGATGGAACAATCACTGCATCATTTGCAAGGAAAGGAAAAGTCACTTACTCTCACTGCCAACACACGTGTGCAGAAATGAGGTATGAGGTTGTTGAATTTTTGGCCAAAGTCTAAGGCATGTTGCTGCAGGTCTGAAATAGTGTGCTGGGTGTCTGAGAGTCTGCATCCATTCAATATCATCAAAGATCGAGGATTTCAGTTGTTGATAAAGATGGGCAGACCAGAGTATTACTTACTGTCTCCATCCACTGTATCGCATGATGTTCGACTTGTGTTTGTGTGGACTTGCCAATGAGTTGCTAAATTGCTCCAGGTGAGTTTATATTCATATGAAATACATGAAACTGACCAAACTTACCAGGAATACAAAGGGAGAATCAACTTTACCACCAATGGATGGTCATCACCCAACCATCGAACCTTTGTGGCCTTTTTGGCACACTTCAAGCATAACAGAGAGCCTCTATGCTTACTGTTAGATATAATTGAGGTTGTGAAGGCGGGTACTTACTGAGATGGCAGAATATCAGCTGATGTAGTCACAGTCTCATACAGGTGAGGAGCTTGTGCACACATTTGAAAAGATGCTAGAGGAGTTTGGGATATCAGAACAGGTAATGGACAAGAAAACATTGGACTTACTCAGCACTAATGTGAGGGCATGCAGATCTTGTGCGTAACCTGCGACAATGCATCAAACAATGATGTTATGGTTTGAGAACTCAGTGAGAAGATTCCAGCATTTGGAGGAGCAACAACACATACCTGTTATTTTCTCCACACTGTCAATCTTGTAGCCAAGTCCCTTATTCGAGAATTTGACGTCAAGAAATGTGATGCTGATCAAGCACTTGCTGAAGCAGACAATGTGGATGATGAAGAAAGTGAGGATGAGGAGGAAGTGGATGATAGCAACACTGCCAATGCAAAATTGAAAGATAATGATGAAGGGTGGGTGAATGAGGTCAAGCTGTTGGAACCAGATGAATGGAAAGTGCTAGAAAGAGAAATTTGACCCATGAAGTTAGCCCTTGTGAAGGTAGGTAAAAAAAAAACCTGCTTACCTGAATACACAATATCTGTGTTTCTAGTTGTGAAAGCTGGCCTACAGAATCATCCACTCAACAACTATTGTACTCCCCACATGGCATCAGATTCTTCAAGATTCACACAAGCCTGTGACACTGATGCCACATGACATGGCAACTCGGTGGAATTCTACCTTTGACATGCTGGATTATGCACTTGAGCATAGGAAAGCTGTCGACAATGTGACACAACATCGCAATCTGGGTCCATGAAAGTATGAGTTAGCTGACTGTGAGTGGGAGATAGTCAAACAGTTGCAGGATGTATTGAAGGTGTGTATTTGTCACTGTGTGACAACAATCAAAATGTGCTTGCCACATGTTCTAGATTCTCAAGGACACAACTTTGTACTTCTCTTGTTCAACACCAAACCTTGCTACTGTGATCCCTGCCATGGATCATATCAACCAGGAGCTCACATCATACTTGCACAACAAGACATATTCTGCTCCAATTTGCGCAGCTGTTCAACTCACAAAGAAGACTCTGAATTGATACTATGAACTTACAGACAGTTCAGAAGTTTATTGCATCACTATGGGTATGTACTTCATATTGTTCCACTCCCTTTTGTAATTAACATATTTCTACAGTTTTGCATCTGTGACATAAGCTATCTTACTTCAAGGTTGCTTACTGGGAAGACCAATGGATCCAGACAGCGGAGTCCCTCATTCTGTCATATTCACATATCCGGATCTCAGATCTGACCCTTATCTCATCTCAGATCCACATCTTATCTCCAATGCTATCCACATCTTATCCCCCTCCAACATCTCGTCATTCAATCTGTCCACTCATCCGGTCCGGTCCACAACTCATCCGAATCCACAACCAGTGCTCATCTCTTTTCGGTAACCCCCTAACTCCGGTATTTTGGTTATCTGTATATCCGTCCTGCTCCCTTATCCACTACCTATGTTTCATTTCTGTTTCATGATTTGTGATCCATTTCTACTTACCAATAGACTATCCACATGCTTCATACATAGCCTCGGACTCTGCTGATTGATCATTCCGTTAGATACCTATAGTACAGTGGCTCAAAAAACTGTCTGCATGTTTTGACATTTTTCACTATCTATGATATTGTGTGAGAACTCACAAATGCCTCAAGGACATGCTTATACCACATTGTAGTATGGCTTCAGAGCTTTCATTTGAGCCCTACACCGTGGGAATCGGTGGAGATATGGTGGAGATACAAGGCTCACAAAATGGTGACTCATGCGGACAGTTTTTGAGCACATATTAAAACTATATAAATCATCATTTATGACACCATAACAATCATGCCACCATTAAATAAATTATAAAGTGGTGTCATTATTTCATTTCAAAACCATATCTAACTATACAAACCAAAAATTTCCATATGTCATGGTTATATTCACCATGAAAGCCACCCCCCCTGCTCAAAGGGATAATATCCTCTCTTTTTCCTATTCTGGCCTCTCTGCTTGTCAAATTTCCTCTAGAACTGGAGTATCCAAGTCCACTGTGGCCAAGTTCATCAAAGAAAGTCACACAGACAAGGAAAACTTCTGTGAAGGGCATCCATCCAAGCTCACCTCTACTGATAGGAGGGCTATTATTCAACATATCACTACAGGAAAGGCTGATAATGCTGTCCATGTCACCTATTACATCAATTCCACCATCACATTCCCTGTCTCTTCACACACTGTGAGAAACATTCTCAAGACAGCTCATCTCAGGTCAGTAACAAGGAAGAAAAGGCTCTCCTCTCTATCACACATATGCAGAGATGACTAACCTTTGCCTTAGCCCATCAGAATTGGATTACATGGACTGGAAGCATGTTATATGATCATATAAGACCACAATAAAAGTTTTCCTTGTCTGTGTGACTTTCTTTGATGAACTTGGCCTGGCCACAGTGGACTTGGATACTCCAGTTCTAGAGGAAATTTGACAAGCAGAGAGGCCAGAATAGGAAAAAGAGAGGATATTATCCCTTTGAGCAGGGGGGGTGGCTTTCATGGTGAATATAACCATGACATATGGAAATTTTTGGTTTGTATAGTTAGATATGGTTTTGAAATGAAATAATGACACCACTTTATAATTTATTTAATGGTGGCATGATTGTTATGGTGTCATAAATGATGATTTATATAGTTTTAATATGTGCTCAAAAACTGTCCGCATGAGTCACCATTTTGTGAGCCTTGTATCTCCACCATATCTCCACCGATTCCCACGGTGTAGGGCTCAAATGAAAGCTCTGAAGCCATACTACAATGTGGTATAAGCATGTCACTGAGGTCATTTATGTCATTCTCACACAATATTGTAAATAGTAAAAATGTCAAAACATGCAGGACAGTTTTTTGAGCCACTGTATAACCTCCTGTAACTTTCTGTAGTACCTCAGTTCGAATATCATCTTAGTTCTACTCATTCCTGTCCTCCGGACTTGAGTATCCCTACTCTCGTCACCCTCTGAGACTTAGGATTGATTCCTATAGTCTATCCGTATCCACCTCTGTCTCTGACAGTCCATTACCATTAGTTTCTAGTCTGGACTTGTCCAGATTAGCCCTATAATACTTAACCCTCATCTGGAAGTTGTCCAGATCCATTATGCTACTCATCTGACCTTCCAGATGTGCTAGTCTTGCCTTCCTGAAATAAGGGGCAATACTCAGGTAAGGGGCACAGCGCACAAGCTGAGGCCAAAGCCCTTTGGATCCAGTTACCCTTTGAGTACGACCTTAACAGTATATTCGAACTCACACCTTACCAAGTATACTTACACTTCCTATGGCACCAACCAAAACTGCAAACACTCTCCAAGCAGCCGGATTAGTATCTGCCCACCATGA